GGGAGGCCCCGCCTGAGCGAGAGGGTATCCGAAAACCATACTACTTACATGGTTTCGTGCCCCTCCCACCCCTCCAGGGAGGCCCCGCCTGAGCGAGGAGGGTATCGGAAAACCATACTATTTACATGGTTTCGTGCCCCTCCCACCCTTCCAGGGAGGCCCCGCCTGAGCGAGGAGGGTATCCGAAAACCATACTATTTACATGGTTTCGTGCCCCTCCCACACCTCCAGGGAGGCCCCGCCTGAGCGAGGAGGGTATCGGAAAACCATATTAATTACATGGTTTCGTGCCCCTCCCACCCCTCCAGGGAGGCCCCGCCTGAGCGAGGAGGGTATCCGAAAACCATACTATTTACATGGTTTCGTGCCCCTCCCACCCCTCCAGGGAGGCCCCGCCTGAGCGAGGAGGGTATCGGACAACCATACTATTTACATGGTTTCGTGCCCCTCCCACCTCTCCAGGGAGGCCCCGCCTGAGCGAGGAGGGTATCCGAAAACCATACTATTTACATGGTTTCGTGCCCCTCCCACCCCTGCAGGGAGGCCCCGCCTGAGCGAGGAGGGTATCCGAAAACCATACTATTTATATAGTTTCGTGCCCCTCCCACCCCTCCAGGGAGGCCCCGCCTGAGCGAGGAGGGTATCGGAATACCATATTATTTACATGGTTTCGTGCCCCTCCCACCCCTCCAGGGAGGCCCCGCCTGAGCGAGGAGGGTATCGGAATACCATACTATTTACATGGTTTCGTGCCCCTCCCACCCCTCCAGGGAGGCCCCGCCTGAGCGAGGAGGGTATCGGAAAACCATACTATTTACATGGTTTCGTGCCCCTCCCACCCTTCCAGGGGGGCCCCGCCTGAGCGAGGAGGGTATCGGAAAACCATACTATTTACATGGTTTCGTGCCCCTCCCACACCTCCAGGGAGGCTCCGCCTGAGCGAGGAGGGTATCGGACAACCATACTATTTACATGGTTTCGTGCCCCTCCCACCTCTCCAGGGAGGCCCCGCCTGAGCGAGGAGGGTAGTTATCCGAAAACCATACTATTTACATGGTTTCGTGCCCCTCCCACACCTCCAGGGAGGCCCCGCCTGAGCGAGGAGGGTATCCGAAAACCATACTATTTACATGGTTTCGTGCCCCATCCCACCTCTCCAGGGAGGCAAAACCATACTATTTACATGGTTTCGTGCCCCTCCCACACCTCCAGGGAGGCCCCGCCTGAGCGAGGAGGGTATCCGAACACCATACTATTTACATGGTTTCGTGCCCCTCCCACCTCTCCAGGGAGGCCCCGCCTGAGCGAGGAGGGTATCCGAAAACTATACTATTTACATGGTTTCGTGCCCCTCCCACCTCTCCAGGGAGGCCCCGCCTGAGTGAGGAGGATATCGGAAAACCATACTATTTACATGGTTTCGTGCCCGTATCCGAACACCATACTATTTACATGGTTTCGTGCCCCTCCCACCTCTCCAGGGAGGCCCCGCCTGAGCGAGGAGGGTATCCGAAAACCATACTATTTACATGGTTTCGTGCCCCTCCCACACCTCGATGGAGGCCCCGCCTGAGCGAGGAGGGCATCCGAAAACCATACTATTTACATGGTTTCGTGCCCCTCCCACCTCTCCAGCGGGGCCCCGCCAAAGCGAGGAGGGCATCAAGAAAATGGGTCCCACGAAACCGTTAATCTCTTTATGTGGGGAACTCCGTTAGGATTTTTTTTTTTTTCGCGGGCCCACGCCAAGCCGAGGCCGCCGCGCGGGGCCCCTGCAGTGGCCCGCCGCCCGCCGCCGTCGGCCTAGGCCTCAAGCCCGCCGCCCCCGGCCGCCGCCGCCGCCCCCGTCCGCCCCGCCGGCCGGCGGGCGGCCGAGCCCGGCCCCACCTCGGCGCCCCCCGCCTCCGCCAGCCAGCGCGCCGCCCCCCTCGCGCCTCGGCCGGCCCCTGGCGGGCCCCAGCCAGCCGCAGCCCGCCGCCTCCGCCTCCGCATCCTCGCAGCGGGGCTCCGCCGGCCGCGGCGCCTCGTCTTGCTCCTGGCGCGGCTGCGCTGCGGGGCCCTCCCGGCCGCCCCGAGAGTCGCGGGCGTTCTAGCCCCACCCTCACTCGGGGCCCGCTCTGGCGTGCCTCCCCGAGCCCCTCCTAGCCAAAGGGCGGCGGGGCCTCCGCGCTGCCGCCCTCCGCCTCCTCGCCCCAGCGCCCGCCTCCTCCTCCGCCTCCTCGGCCTCCGCGGCCTCCGTCGCGGGCCCAGCCGCTGCCGCCGGCCCGCCGCCGCCAGCCGCCGCCGGCCGCCGTCGCCCCCTGCCGCGCCGGCGTCCGCGCAGGCCCCGCCGTGCTGCTCCTGGTCGCCGTGGTGGTGGTGGTGGTGCTGCTGCTGCTGGTCGCCGTGCTGGTGGGTGTGGCGCTGCTGGTCGTAGTCGCAGTGGTTGTGGTGGTGGTTCTGCTGCTGCTGCTGCTGCTGCTGCTGCTGCTGCTGCTGCTGCTGCTGCTGCTGCTGCTGCTTGTTGTCGCTGTTGTGGTAGTGGTTGTCGTGGTGCTGCTGGTCGCTGTGCTGCCCCTGGTCGCCGTCGTGGTGGTGGTGGTAGTGGTATCCGTGCTGGTGGTGGTGGCGCTGCCGGTTGTAGTCGTAGTGGTGGTGGTGGTGGTGGTGGTGGTTTTGCTGCTGTTGCTGCTGCTGCTGCTGCTGCTGCTGCTGATGCGGGTGCTGCCGCTTGTTGTCGCCGTAGTGGTAGTAGTTGTCGTGGTTCTGCTGGTCGCCGTGCTGCTCCTGGTCGCCGTCATGGTGGTGGTGGTGGTGGTGGTGGTGGTGGCTCTGGTCGCCGTGCTGGTGGTGTCAGCGTGGCTGGTCGTAGTCGTAGTGGTTGTGGTGGTGGTGGTGGTGGTGGTACTGCTGCTGCTGCTGCTTGTTGTTGGCGCTGTAGTTGTAGTGGTTGTCGTGGTGCTGCTGGTCGCCGTGCTGCCCCTGGTCGCCGTCGTGGTGGTGGTGGTGCTGGTCGCCGTACTGGTGGTGGGGGCGTTGCTGATCGTAGTCGTAGTGGTTGTGGTGGTGGTGGTGGTGGTGCTGCTGCTGCTGTTGCTGCTGCTGCTGCTGCTGCTGCTGCTTGCTGTCGTCGCTGTAGTTGTAGTGGTTGTCGTGGTGCTGCTGGTCGCCGTGCTGCTCCTGGTCGCCGTAGTGGTGGTGGTGGTGGTGGTGGTGGTGGTGGTGCTGCTGCTGCTGCTGCTGCTGCTGGTCGCCGAGCTGGTGAGTGTGGCGCTGCTGGTCGTAGTCGTAGTGGTTGTGGTGGTGGTGGTGGTGGTGGTGGTGGTGCTGCTGCTGCTGCTGCTGCTGCTGCTGTTTGTTGTCGCAGTTGTGGTAGTAGTTGTCGTGGTTCAGCTGGTCGCCGTGCTGCTCCTGGTCGCCGTCGTGGTGGTGGTGCTGGTCGCCGTGCTGGTGGTGGTGGCGCTGCTGGTCGTAGTCGTAGTGGTTGTGGTGGTTGTGGTGGTGGTGGTGGTGGTGGTGTTGCTGCTGCTGCTGCTGCTGCTGCTTGTTGTCGCTGCGCTGCTGGTCGTAGTCGTAGTGGTTGCGGTGGTGGTTCTGCTGTTGCCGCTGCTGCTGCTTGTTGTCGCAGTTGTGGTAGTAATTGTCGTGGTTCTGCTGGTCGCTCTGCTGCTCCTGGTCGCCATCGTGGTGGTGGTGGTGCTGGTCGCCGTGCTGGTGGTGGTGGCTCTGCTGTTTGTAGGCGTGGTGGTGGTGGTGCTGCGGCTGCTGCTGCTTGTCGCAGTTGTGCTGCCCCTGGTCGCCGTCTTGGTGGTGGTGGTGGTGGTGCTGGTCGCCGTGCTGGTGGTGGTGGCGCTGCTGGTCGTAGTCGTAGTGGTGGTGGTGGTGGCTCTGCTGCTGCCGCTGCTGCTGCTTGTTGTTGCAGTTGTGGTGGTAGTTGTCGTGGTTCTGCTGGTCGCCGTGCTGCCCCTGGTCGCCGTCGTGGTGGTGGTGGTGGTGCTGGTCGCCGTGCTGGTGGTGGTGGCGTTGCTGGTCGTAGTCGTGATGGTTGTGGTGGTGGTGGTGGTGTTGCTGCTGCTGGTGGTCCTGCTTGTTGTTGTCGCTGTGGTTGTAGTGGCCGTCTGGTGCTGCATGGTCGCCGTGCTGCCCCTGGTCGGCGTCGTGGTGGTGGTGGTGTGGGTCGCCGTGCTGGTGGTGGGGGCGTTGCTGGTCGTAGTCGTAGTGGTTGTGGTGGTTGGTGGTGGTGGTGCTGTGCTGCTGCTGCTGCTGCTTGTTGTTGTCGCTGTAGTTGTATTGGTTGTCGTGGTGCTGCTGGTCGCCGTGCTGCTCCTGGTCGCCGTGGTGGTGGTGGTGGTGGTGGTGGTGGTGGTGGTGGTGGTGGTGATGGTGGTGCTGGTCGCCGTGCTGGCGGGTGTGGTGTTGCTGGTCGTAGTCGTGGTAGTTGTGGTGGTGGTTCTGCTGCTGCCGCTGCTGTTGCTGCGTGTTGTCGCAGTTGTGGTAGTAGTTGTCGTGGTTCTGCTGGTCGCTGTCGTGGTGGTGGTGGCGGTGGTGGTGCTGCTGCTGCTGTTGCTTGTTGTCGCAGTTGTGGTAGTAGTTGTCGTGTTTCTGTTGGTCGCCGTGCTGCCCCTGGTCGCCGTCTTGGTGGTGGTGCTGGTCGCCGTGCAAGTTGTGGTGGCGCTGCTGGTGGTAGTCGTAGTGGTTGTGGTGGTGGTGGTGGTGCTGCTGCTGCTGCTGCTGCTTCTGCTGCTGCTGCTGCTGCTGCTTGTTGTCGCTGTAGTGGTAGTTGTTGTCGTGGTGCTGCTGGTCGCCGTGCTGCCCCTGGTCGCCGTCGTGGTGGTGGTGGTGCTGGTCGCCTTGCTGGCGGTGGTGGCGCTGCTGGTCGTAGGCGTGGTGGTGGCGGTTATGCTGCAGCTGCTGCCGCTGCTTGTTGTCGCAGTTGTGGTAGTGGTTGTAGTGGTTCTGCTGGTCCTCCTGCTGCGCCGGCGGGCGGGCCCCCGGGGTGGGACCGCGCCCGTTCCACCGCATCAGAAACACGGCGGCAGTCGGCTAGGGGCCGGCGTCTCCGTGTAGCGGGCGTCCGCCAGGAGGTCGGCGAGGTGCGGCTCGTCCCCGTCGACGGCCAGGGTGTGCGGCGGCAACTCCAGCAGCGTGGCCGCGCACGCCCTCTGGGCCGCGACCGCAGCCAAGCCTGTCCAGCGGTGTAGGTGCGCCGCCCGCGCCGACGCTCGGAGTCGCTGCGGCGCGCTGCGGGCTCTGGTCCTGGCGAGCAGCCGGACGAAGGTCAGGGCCTCCTCGGACCACCTGCCGCCGACTTCCAAGCCCAGCACAACCAATCGGCATCTCCTTGACCCGATGAGCTCGGGGTAGGTCGCTTCCTTCCGGCCCCGCGCGACCGCGAGCTGGACTCCGTCCTCGTCCGCGGCTCTGGGCTGCGCGGTGCCGTCGGTGCGGACTGGCGACACCAGGGTCGCGTCAATCGCCAGCTGCGCTCCTCCCCAGAGCGGCAGGCCGTTCGCGATGACCTCGATCTTGCGCCCGTCGCGGGGGTCGACGCCGTCCACGTTGAGGTCTCGCAGGAGCTGATTCTCTGCGACTCGGCCCCCGGCCTCGCGGCAGATACGTGCAGCCGCTTTCTCCAATGGGATGGATCTCTTCTTGAGCACCCCTGCCCTTGGGCACGCCGCTCTGTGGTCACCTCTGGCGTCCAGTCTGCCTCTGCATCTGCAAGCGCTCGCTGCGAAGGGTAAATCAAATCGCAAGCGCCTGAGGAGCAGGACTCTGAATTCTGCCGGCGGGATGTGGAAGTCCCCCGTCGTGGGCAGCGCGGTGAAGGCTCGTCCCGCGCACGGCCCGCTCTGTGACCGGAGGAGGGCGCGGTCCGGTGGCGTGGAGGCGTTGAGGAGCTGCTGTCGGGCTGTGTTCTCCAAGACTCTGGCGGCCCAGAACTGCCAGCCGTGCGCCCATTCGCCGTGCTCCCGTTCGTGCGTCGGCGGTGGCCGGGCGCCCTGCGCAAGGTCGTGCCAGTTGGGCGCGGCGAAGCCGTGCGCCGAGAGGTGCTCCTTTGCCCTGCTGGCTTGTTGCAAGCACCCGGGAGCGGCCGGCAGCGGGCCCCGGTCCAGCTCGCTCAGTGCAGCGCAGATCTGGTTTGTGAGCTCGGGGCAGCGTTCGCGGAGCATCTGCGCGCAGTCTGCCCAGGAAGCCCACCAGGCCGCCGGCGCCGTCCTGGACGCGCTTCGCAAGCCGAGCCCCCCCATGCAAAGCGGCAGTTGGCAGCGTTGGCGCGCTGACGTGCCTTCTGCGACAGCTTCTTGCGGGAGTTCCAGCAAGTCGGCGAGCGCGTTGGCCAGGTTGTCGTCGTGCGCTGCGGCGAAGGCGGCCGTGTCCTCGGGAGCCAGCGCCCTCAGGAAGAAGTTGGCCCGGGGGTTGGCGCACATGCTGAGCGGGAGCCAGCGCCCTCAGGAAGAAGTTGGCCCGGGGGTTGGCGCACATGCTGAGCAGGAGCCACGAGGATTGCAGGTCCCCGACGTGTGGTATCCTCGCGAGCAAGCGGCGGTGTTCTTCCAGGATGGCCTCCAGGTGTTGGGCGACGAAAGCTCCGTGGCCTATCGGGGCCCCCAGAACGACCAAGCCCTGGGCTTCCGGCGGGGTGTCTGCTCCTCCTACCCGCACCCGGTCTGCTGCTGAGCCCAGCTCTCGGATGCCAAGTGGCTCCTGCCCTCCCCTGTTCCAGACTCGCGTCTTCCCCATGTTCACGCTGATGCCGCAGTGCGCTTGGAGGGCGTCCCGCACGGCGTTGAAGAGGAACCTCGCTCTGTCTGGCGTGGTGACCAAGTACACGTCGTCAAGGAAGGCGAAGATGCGCTCCCCGGGCCGGAGTATGCCTTGGACCTGTTGCAGGGCGGGGTGTTGTCCCAAGGCAAACAGTGCTGGCATGAGCGGGTCTCCTTGCTCTCCTCCTTCCGCCTGGTCGATCGCGTGCCCCTGTCCCGCGTCGTCGTGCCACCAGTACTGCGATCTTTCCCCGTAGAAGAGGCGGCAGAAGGGAAGCAGTGCGCTACCCCTGCCCAGGTTTGCTAATCCTTCGAGCATCGAGTTTCTGGACATGAGGTCGAATGCCCCGATTCCGTCTATGGAAACCACCGTGGCAGCCGGGTCACCCTGGGTGAGAGTCTGCACGAGGTGCGCCACGCATTCCGTGCCTGCTCGGGTCGGGAGTGCGAACTGGAAGGGGGCAGTCGCCTGCTCGACCTCTTCGCCCACTCGCTGCGCCAGCGTGCGGGCTACCAGCCGCCTGAAGACGTCGCCAGTCACGATGCCTCGCACCCTCCCGTTGCTCTTGCGCAGCGCCGTGAGGCGGCCGAGCCGGAGGGCCTCTGCCACGGGGCCAGGGATTTCCGCCCTCGCAAGGAGCGTGGCAGCGTGGTGCAGGAGGTCGCAGCAGTGCTCGTCGTCCAGCAGCGTCTGCAAGTGTTCTCCCGTCATCCCTGAGGGGCCCGGCGCAGCGCCCCGGCGACTCCTGCGCACGTTCGTGAGGAGGCGGTCTGGTTCCAGGCTGGCGAGGCCTTGCGGCGGCGCGCGGGCGGCTCGCTCGCTGAGCTGCTCTCTCGGCTGCTGCAGGCGGCGTGCCGGGTCCCGGAGTTCGTCCAGAGTGGCCTGTGTGCCTGGTGCCACCGCGCTCGCTGTCAGCGCTTGCCGCGCCGCCGAGACCTCGCCGAGGCGGATCAGCTCGCGGGCCCTCTCGCAGCGGCTGCGGAGCTCCTCGTTTTCGTCTGGCGCCCGGCCCCGTCGTGCCTCGGGCGCCCTGCTCTGCCCGTTCGCGTCTCGCTCGGGCGGCCTGCGCGGCGGGCCCGGCTGTGCGTCTGTCAGAAGCTGCGCCCAGTCTCCAGCTTCGAAGCGGGTGAACCTCTCCAGGCGTTGCTCCTTGGGGATCCTTTGCTGCCCCGCTTCTCTCCTCAAGAGCAGTCGTGGGGGCAGGAGGAACAGCTTCCACCCTCTCGCTGCTCCTATCTCGTCTGCTTCGCCCTCTCGGATCAGCTCCAAAGCTTTGCGCAGGGCGTTGCGGAACGGCCCCCGCGCGAACGCTGGCGCCCGTTGGAGGGTTGGCACGCGGGCCCGGAGCACAGATGCTGCGTCTGTCGCGTCCAGCGCTTCCCTCTCTGCCGCCGTCAAGCGAGCGCGGGCGTGGGCGGGGCGGCGCCCCAGGGGCGCCCGGGGAGGAGCAGCTCGTCCCGCGCCCCCGTCTCGGCGGGGCTGGGCCAGCGGCGCGGGCAGCGCGGTGCCAGAGTTGCTGGAGGCGCTGTCCTCAGTGTCCTCCTCGCTCTCGCTGGCTGTGCTGCTGCTCGAGCTGCCTCCTCCCCCTCCTCCCCCTCCTCTGGTGCCTCTTCCTCTTCGGCCCCCTCTAGCGCCTCGCCCTCTGCTTCCTCTGGCGCCTCTTCCTCCTCTGCCTCCTCGGCCTCTGCCTTCTCCTGGGCCCCCTCCGCTGGCGTCGTCGCTGGGCTGAGGTCCTGCTGGCGCCGCTGGTGGCGGCTTCGGCGGGCGCGGCGCGGCTGCGGCCCACCTGGCCGGGTCGCGGAGCTCGTCTGCGCGCCGGTCGGCCCCTCCGCGCCAGCGCGACCCCCCCGAAGAGCTCGAGCAAGAGGTCCTGGGCGAGGTTGTCGATGTAGCCAGCGCTGTCCGCCAGCGCTCTGACCACAGGCGGCAGGTGCGCGTGTCCAGGGCGTGCTCCGCCCCCAGCGGCGATCACAGCATATATCGCCCCTGGGCTGGCCCCTGCGAACTCCAGCCCTTGGGCGAAGGTCTCGGCCGGCACGGGGTCCGCATGCTGCAAGGCCTCCACTGTCGGCTGCCACCAGTCGTGCGTGAGCGGGTGCGTGCTCCACCCCGCCGCCTCCTGCTGGTCAAGCAGCCCCGCCGCTGCTAATAGCAAGGGCACGTACACGCGTGAGTTGGTTCGTTCTCGTAGTGGGCCCGCCAGGGGAGGCCATCTGGCGAAGCGGCCAGGCTGCCGTTGCTCTGCGGCGGTGGGCGCCTGTTCGGGGCGCGCCAGTCGAGGGTCTCCTGCGTCTGCTGTTGTCGCGGGCGGCGACGGAGGGGCGGCGACCACTGGCTCCGGAAGCGGCGTGGCGGCGCAGCCCTCGCAGAGCCAGGCCCCGTGCCATCTCCACGACCCTGCTGTGGCCCTGGCGGCCCTGGCGACCCACTCGATTGGCCCTGGCCGTCCGCAGGGGCAGCGCGGCGGTCTCGCGCCCTGCGGCGGCGAGACGTCGCTACCCAGGGGGGCCACGTCGCAGGCGCGGCATTCCCAGCTGCCCGCCAGCCCGCTGGGCCCGCGAGAGTGCCGCCACCGCAGGGGTTGGAAATGTCGCGGGCAGACTGCGATGGCGTGCGGCGCGGGCCCTCCTGGATGCTCAAGGGGTCCTCCTGCGCAAGGGTCCGCCTCCTCCTCACTTGGCGGGCCGGCCGCGGCTCGGCAGCGTGAGCACCTGCACCCTCGGGTGGGGTAGTCTCCAGAAGCGTTCAGGGATCCCGCGAAGCCCGCGAGCGCCGCCACGCCTCCCGGCGAGTCCCCCCACGGGCTGTTGCAAAGGGGGCATGGCGACCTTTCGGCACGGGATGCGTCACCTGTGTGGTGCAAGTGGGCCAGGCCCGCCCGTGTCGGCCGATGCCTCGCTGCGCGCGCTGCGTGGAAGCGGTGGGGGACATGGCCGCAAGCTGGCCACGTCGCGGTGTCCCCTTCGAGCGGCGTCTGGCAGATGGCGCATTCCTCCCTGTCTGGCCGGTCTGGCCCCTGCTGTTGCTGCGGTGGCTGTCGCTGCTCCTCGGCCGCCTCGCGCCCTGCTGGCGGCAGGGAGAGGCCCGAGAAGTCCCGCCGCCTTCCCTCTGGTTCAGGGGGCGCTGCCGGCCAGGCGCCGAAAATGCTGGCGAAGTGGTTCAGCTGCGGTGGTGGTGGCGGTGGTGAGGCCGACCGCGCGCCCGCTCGCGAGTCTGGCGTGGCAAACCCTTCCGGCGCCGACAGCATGTGCGGCGGCGTCTCCGCGAGCGCTGGTGCCGGGGCAGACTCTCCCGATCTGCGTTCCGGCGTGCCCGGCGGCTCGTCGGCTGGCCCGGGGGGGCCTGGGTGGCTGGCTTCGCCGACCCGTTGTCCGCGGTAGCCGTAGAGCGCCTCCCGCGGACTCCTCGCCAGTGCGCACTGCTCCTGTCGTGGTGGTGGCGGTGCTTGTGCTGGCGCTGGTGCTGGTGGCGGCGCTGTCGGTCGCTGTCGCGGTGCTGCTGCTGGTCGCTGTGTTTGCGGTGGCGTTGGTGTTTCTGCTGGTCGGTGTCGCAGGGTGTCGTTGTGGTGGTTGCCCTGCTGCTGCTGCTGCTGCTGCTGCTGCTGCTGCTGCTGTTGCTGCTGCTGCTGCTGCTGCTGCTGCTGCTGCTGCTGGTCGTGGTAGCGGTGGTGGTGGTGGTGTTGCTGCTGCTGCTGCTGCTGCTGCTGCTGCGGCTGCTGCTGCTGCTGCTGCTGCTGCTGCTGGTCGTCGTGGTGGTGCCGCTGCAGCTGGTCGCAGTGGCGACGCTGCCGCTGGTGATGGTTGTCGTGGTGGTGGTGTTGCTGCTGATGTTGCTGCTTGTCGTCGTCGTTGTGCTGCTGCTCGCGGCGCCACTGTTGGGAGTCGTGCCGCCTTTTGTGGTCGAGCATGTTGTCGCGTTGCTCCTGTGGGCTTGCTGCACAAGCCGGGGCGCCACCGGGGACCGCAGCGGAGCCGCGCGAACCCCGATGGGGAACTGGCCCCAGGGGAGTCCTACCGTGGGAATGGGGCTCTTCCCTTGGGGGGCACGGGCTGCAGCTGACGCCAGCCCCCCCCCTCGGAAGGGGCTGGAGGGCTGGCGGCCAGACGGCTGGAATGGCCGTCTGGGGCGGCGGAGGGCCCTGCTGGCTGCCACTGCTGCTGCTTTTGCTGCTGCTTTTGCTGCTGCTGCTGCTGCCAGGGAGCTGCCATCCGCAGTCGTTGGCTGCGTGCTGTGGTGCTGTGGTGGTGCTGGTCGTCACTGTGGTGCTGGTCGTTGGGTGCGTGCTGTGGCGCTGGTCGTTTGGTGCATACTGTGTTGCTGGTCGTTGGTGTTGGTCGCTGTGGTGCTGGTCGTTGTGGTGGTTGCCCTGCTGCTGCTGCTGCTGCTGCTGCTGCTGCTGCTGCTGGTCGTGGTGGCGGTGGTGGTGGTGGTGGTGGTGGTGGTGCTGCTGCTGCTGCTGGTCGTCGTGGTGGTGCCGCTGCAACTGGTCGCAGTGGCGACGCTGCCGCTGGTGATGGTTGTCGTGGTGGTGGTGTTGGTGCTGATGTTGCTGCTTGTCGTCGTCGTTGTGCTGCTGCTCGCGGCGCCCTTGTTGGGAGTCGTACCGCCTCTTGTGGTCGAACATGTTGTCGCGTTGCTCCTGTGGGCTTGCTACACAAGCCGGGGCGCCGCCGGGGACCGCAGCGGAGCTGCGCGAACCCCGATGGGGAACTGGCCCCGGGGGAGTCCTACCGTGGGAATGGGGCTCTTCCCCTGGGGGGCACGGGCTGCAGCTGACGCCAGCCCCCTCCCTCGGAAGGGGCTGGAGGGCTGGCGGCCAGACGGCTGGAATGGCCGTCTGGGGTGGCGGAGGGCCCTGCTGGCTGCCGCCGCTGCTGCTGCTTTTGCTGCTGCTGCTGCTTTTGCTGCTGCTTTTGCTGCTGCTGCTGCTGCCAGGGGGCTGCCGTCCGCAGTCGTTGGCTGCGTGCTGTGGTGCTGTGGTGGTGCTGATCGTCACTGTGGTGCTGGTCGATGGCTGCGTGCTGTGGCGCTGGTCGTTTGGTGCGTGCTGTGTTGCTGGTCGTTGGTGTTGGTCGCTGTGGTGCTGGTCGTTGTGGTGCTGTGTGCTGCTGCTGCTGCAGCTGCTGCTGCAGCTGCTGCTGCTGCTGCTGCCGCCGCTGCTGCTGCTGCTGCTGCTGCTGCTGCTGCTGTGTTGGTCGCTGTCGCGCTAGTCGCTGTGGTGTTGGTCATTGCTGTGGTGCTGGTCAATATCGCCGCCGTGGTGCTGGTCTTGGTACTGTGTGCTGCTGGCGTGGTGTTGCTGGTCTCGTGGTCTTTCCCTCAGTGGTCGCTGTGGTGTTGCTGGCTGTGCTTGCTGCTCTTGGGGCTGCTGGTCGCCGCCGCTGTGTTGCTCGTGGTGCTGCTGCTGGCCGCGGTCGTTGTCTTCGTTGTGGTGCTGGTTGTTGGGTGCGTGCTGTGGTGCTTGTCGCTGGTGCTGGTCGCTATGGTGCTGGTCGCTGTGGTGCTGTGTGCTGCCGCTGTGGTGCTGGTCGCTGTGTGCGCGTGCAGTGGCGCTGGTCGTTGGCTGCGTGCTGTGGTGCTGGTCGTTGTCGTCGCCGTGGTGCCGGTTGGCGCGGTGCTGGTGTGGTCGCCGTCGTGGTGTAGCTGGTGGGGCTGGTAATGCCGCGGGTCGTAGTTGTGAGCAGGGCCTGCCGTGTAAAGCAAGGCGGAATGTAGCACAGCAGCTGGCCCGGTCGATTTCGCAACAGTTCTTGTCATGCGTGCATGGCTGTCGTGGCGGTGGTGCTGCTGCCGTTGTTTTTCGCCGTCGTGGCTGTGGCGGTGCAGCTGGTGCTGCTGGTGCTGCTGGTCGCCGTCGTGGTGCTGCTCGTTGCTGTCTTGGTCGCCGTCGTGGTGGGCGCCGTGGCGGGCGCCGTCGTAGTTTTCCTCCGCCTGTGGCCGCAGTTGGGTGCTGGCTGCCGTCGCTCTGGTCGCTGCGGTGCTGCCTGCTCTCGCAGCGCCCGTGGCGAAAGTGCGCTCTGGTCACGAGCGGCGCGCCCTCGCCGACACCCGCCCGCGCCATCTCACGGTCAGCGTCCTGTCGCCGGTGCGGGCGCCAGAGCTGAGAGTACCCATCCCCTTCATGGGGCGCTGGCTGTCCTGGCTTGGCCTCCTGGTCGCGGCGGCCCTCGCCATGCCTTCTCCTGCCGCCCTCCTGTGCCTCCTCACGCGGCTGCTGCTGTGCAGGCGGGCTCTGGTGCTGTCGCTGCCGCTCCTCGTCGCGTGTCGCCGCGCCCCTGGCTGCGGCGAGTGCCTTCCGGAGCTCGCTTTGCGCCCGCCTCGCGTCGAACCTCGCGGCCAGGCAAGCACGCCGACGCTCGAGGGCCGCCGCCTGCTCCACGAGCGCGTCGTGCTCGGCGTGCGCGGCCTCGAGGGCACTGGCCGCCAGCCGCCGCGTGGCTCGCCGGCGGCCGCGGCGAAGGACCCGGCGAGCGTAGGCCGCCCGGCGCGGCGCCCTCTCGTTCGCGCCTGCCCCTTGCGGCGCCTCGTGGTCGCGCTGCGCCTCCTTT